TTGTTCTGCTCAGTGCACCTGACACTTCTAAGCTGTTCAAAGATTGGAGATGTGACAATCACCGAGCTGCACACTGATGACTTATCAACCAAAAACTTTCTGCCAGTTAGAACTTGGATTACAAAGGCACATAACATACAGCAGGATTAAACTTAAACATCGTTTACTCTCAACAAACACAATTTTTTAGGAACATTTTTTAGTTGGGAACCAGTAGACATAAATCCGCCTACCTCCTCTGGTCAAAACAATAACAAACCATTCCGCACCAGAATCTAAACTAAGAAGGAGGACATACTGGCTGCTGCTGTTGACCAGCACTTCAACATAGCAGGTCTCCTTACTGTCCGATGACATAGTAAGATCATGTTATGATTAAATTCAGTAGATATCTTGCATATTGGACCTTTAAGCGAGAAGTTCGGTCATTTTCACATTTTCTTCCACACGGATGAACCTGATTTTGCAACCAGTGCAGTCGCCCCCTCGCTGGCCGTTAGCAGATCACAGTTTGGAGGCACTTCTGATTTACTTCACTTGCTATCTCTGAGGCTACATTCTCTTGTTTTAATTAACATTTAGGAGACATACAACTTCAGAAACTGTAGATGTTATCCACACAATGATTCAAGCGCAGCAACAGCAGAGATGAGTTTCATGCACTCAATATGGAGACAGAAGAATTACATCTACAACATGTAGAAAACATCCAAGATCTCAATGTTTCTGCCCTTATGGAAATAATGCTCCTCAGTTTACCCCCAAAACTAGTAAACGTCTGTCATCTTAAAGATTAACTTGTTCTCCTTTTAGAAATAAAAAAAAAACAAAGACTGTTCAGACATGATAATCTGAGTGTAAGTACAAAATCAGGTGATTTTTTTTATCCATCGTCACAGTCATCTATTTCAAGAAAAAAACATCTAGTGTGTTTGGCTCTCAACCTGTACACACCTGATCCTAATTTCTTAAAAGCAATTAAGCAGCATCTCCGACAGCTTGCTCTGACTCACTCGTTCACAGCGGGATCCAGGCTGATCAGAGGAGAGTGCTCAACTTGAACAATTCATTTATATGCAAAATCACGAGTCAGAGTGAATGTTGGAGGTATTGATCCCAGGCCAGCGGGGCTACATGTGTTTCCAGCTGCACGATGGAGCAAAGGGACTGTGAACTTGAGCATTACTGGGAAACAAAGCAGGCATTTCTATCCCGACTGCTCTGTAATACCTGTTTAGCAGATGTTACGCCGATAATGAAGGCGGCAGATTGAGAGCCATTGATTCAGAAATGCATTCAATTCTCGTCCCATTTGGATTTTCAAACACATGCTGTGTGTTTGTTTCTTCACATGCTGCAGCCCTCTGAGGCTCAGGCGTGCACACACATGGTTTGTATGTTCTCCCACAAACAGCTGGCTGATGAGACTATTGATCTGAAGAGCCAGTTGACATGGAGCTAAAGGCCTGTGCCAATAGCAAAGACACACACATGCGCGCACACACACACACACACACACACACACACACACACACACACACACACACACACACACACACACACACATACACACAGTATCCAGGCAGAAACAAGCAATATTCTACTTTGATTTTACAGAAAGCATTTGATGTGAGTACTGAAGGCTGGAGCGCTTTGTGTTTTGCAGCAATCCAAAATCTCAATTTGATTTTATGAAGATGTAAAATCAGATATGATGCAGTGTTATGTTAATTCACTTCTGTTTGTGGGACAAAAACCCATAAAGTTAAAGAAAAAGTGAGGTTTAACTATTCTCCGACTCTTCGTAATAGCTTGCAACTTCCTCTAAAGATGTAAATAGTTGTTTTTTTTTTTTATTGTTGTTTGTTTACAGATTGCACACAGATTTGTTGCTAATCGGTATGCTAAGATAGGCTTCAGGAAATACAGTTATTTGCTTTATGTCAAGAGTTAAATGACAGGATTAAAACATCATCATGACTTGATGATAATTAAGAAGCAGCCGACAGCTAATCCGCCTCCTTCCCAAGGTAACAAAATCCACCTATCAGCACTGCTAAAGTTCACTAATTAGCATCTCATCTCATTCAGTTGCAATTGTGCATATGTTGAAGTCCAACTTTGACACTTTTTGACAAACACATATTCTCTTCATGATCATTTGTGTTGCATTTTTCCTACACATTCTTTATTCGTTAATACTGCTGCTTTAGTGTCAATCTGTTTTTAGCTCTTGTGGTATTATCTATTCCAGAAACTTGTCTTTTTGAACATTTATGTGAACTGCATTTCCCATGTGCACCTGCATGACAAAGAACAGGTGTGCTCTCTATGTGATGCCTTTGAAAGCTCTTTTAGTCAGTGATTTGCCAACTGACTGTCCAGGATTTAGTTTGAAGTTTGCAGACTTTTTGTTACGGCGCTGTTGTTGCTTTTGTGCACCAAAAATGGAGAGAGAACTGGTCCCAGTCATGTTTGGGATGTAATAAGCGAGGGCAGCGATGTTACTTGACTTTGACAAGAAGGGCGATATAGAAGGATGTAAGAGGTTGAGATCTATTTGGGTGTTTGAATTATCTATTTGTCTTGCCAACTCCTGTATTTTCGCTCTCCTCTTTCTTCCTGCCTCCTTTCTTTTCTTGTCCTGATTTTAATTACATTTCCTCTCGTCTCCTCGCTGTACTCTCCTCTCTTGTTATTTCACCTCTCTCCCTCTGCTCCTCTTTTCCTGCTCTCACTTTGTCTCAGTTCATCGGTCCTCAGGCGTCAATATTTTGACAGCTCTCAGACTATCAGAAAAGTGCCGACAGCCCTGAGTTATGGGATGCTAGATTTGTGTGTGTTAGGTGTGAGTCCATATAGCGTGGGTCATACACTGTTGTGCTGATATTTCTCTGAGTTTTCTGTATTGAAGTGAGATGGATTTTTCATCATGCACTCTTCAACAGATATGTTTCTGCACTTATTTGAATAACTGATACTTTCTGTGAGTGTTTCTTTTTTACTTAGTCTAGACCGTATATTATTATGCTTATGAGTTTTTGAACTGTCTTCATTTTCATTTTTAAACTCAAGCAGAGAACAAAATGAATGTGCAGGAGACGAAAAAGTCAAACATTTTATGCCCTATCTCAACCTAAATGAAAGGAAATAGCTTTCGGTTGAGTGTAAAACATTGTTCTTAGCAAGGTGCTGCAGCTTCTATTTTGCTAATTAATCAAGCGCCTGAGTCCCAGGAGATGTAAACCATTAGGATGAGCTGGCAATTCTTTGAGACAAGAAGCAGAAATAAGTCACCTCCGCAGGATCACTGAGGTCAGCCTTAGAGAAAAGGATGATGAGCTAAGACATCTTGAAGGCTAGATCTGCTTCTCCTTCACATCAAACAAGAACGGTGGAGGTGGTTAGGATTCGTACTGCTTATAGGGTTTGGCCAGTCCACATCTCATCCATCCAACACAACCACAAATGTATTATTGGAAAAAAAAGAAGTAATAACACACTGATGTCAAAAAGTCATTATGGAAAACAAAATGAATGTCTTTCTCAGTAAAACTTCATAGGACTTCTTTGAACCAAGTGGAAACCTCCAGTGTAGAAAAATAAAGCCAACGCTAAAGTGAAAAAAAAAAACTGCAGTTCCTCATGTGTCCACTTGAGACTGGCTGCAAAGTCGAAGTAATTCTGGTTAGGTCCAATATGAAAATTAGCCATTTAACAGCAGAAATAAAAATGATGACAACATAATTTAAAAAAACAAATCTGGTGTTCATTGTTGGTAAACTCTGCACAGAGGGTGATTTTTTTGTATTACTCATCTGTTTTAATTGTATTAAGCCAATGGGCCATGTTTGGTTTGACTGACAGGTGGACATGCTGTATCTATTTGTCAGGAGGTTGAGGTTCAGCTCCACCTCTTTGCATGTCTTTAGATTGATCAAAGTTAGGTTGAGACAGAATTTCAGATATGGTGAATGCCATCGTTGGGCTTCATAACACCTGTTCAGAAACCAATGCGTGACATCACTGTGTTTTAAGTCCATGTTTGGAAGCATAAGTAATGGTGAAGAGGATCCATTTATACCAGGCTATTTTATTTCTAGTTAAAGCTCCTGTCAGGGCTCTCTTAGCTGGGCATGAAACAGACTGAAAATAATGCTTGTGCCTCTTTATGACCTGCAGGAGCAAACCGACTATCAAGAATACAGTAAATGAACTATTTCAGTAAAGTTGTTTTTGATGGCTGTCACCATCACTGCCATCAGGTCAGTGTCAGATGTGGCGATTGACAGCGCACAGCAGAAACAGCCTTTGTTTACATTCTGTAATGGCAAAGATTCACAGCCAGTGAAATGATTGACAGCTGAAACACAGCAGGATGGGATACTTTGTCAGACAATACCAATAATGCATGTACAAGGACCAGATCAGCAAAGAGATGAGATACTTTTTTGTGCCAAAATTGACACAACATTAAAGTTCCTCACAGGCTCTTGTGAAGTATTTTTATCAGTCATTGTGAAAAGTTTGAGAATACATTCTTATAAGTTTTTACGAGTCATGATTTCACTATCTGTACTTGGAAATAAACTTGCAACAGACTTCCAGTATCTCCTAAATTATTGAGATGAGTGACTGTAAAAGAAAAAAGCCGCAGGGACTAAAAGGAACAAAACTTGAACACATTTCTTTGCTTCTCTGTAATGTCAATCTCATGTGACAGCAGAGCAGGAGGAGGAATCTCAGAGAGGAGATAATAGAGAAAAGAAATAGAGAATTTATGATGCCTTCATTTCATCCATCCTGAGTCTGCTGACAGAAGACAAGACTAAAGAGATTGGAGACTGGAAGCCTGGTGGGGTGAGTTCTTCTCTCTAATTTATTGTTCTCTCTCTCTGTCTACAGCAGCTTCTAGGAAGCTCACACGGGACATAAAGACAAGGAGAGGATAACTTGACGCAGAAGAAGAAGAAGAGAGGAAGGAAAGGGAGGCTGTAGAGATGGCTGAGGCACCTCAGCAGCAGCAGCAGCAGCAGGAGGAGGTGGAGGACGAGGAGCAGCCGAGCTCTGTGGACGTGACTGAGAACGATGATGGGCCAGAGGAACCGAAGGAGAACGCTCAGACCACTCCGACCAGACGTCTGCTGTCCATGAGGTCCATGGCGTCCATGAACAGCGTGGACCCGGACGACGACTCGCCCAACATGATTGTCTACAGAAAGGTAGGAGGGCTGAAACTAAACGGTCTCTGTTTTGATAAGTTTGTGGTCTTCTGGTGCTGCTGGAGCCAAATGGAGAATTGTTTGAGTTGAGTGTTTGCTTCTGACGAGGCAAACCTGGTTGATGATGTTGTTTTTTTATAAGATTTAAAGGAATTGTTTTAAATCCCAACCTACACATGGAAAGTCTTTCCAAACCATGATACCACGTACACCTCTGCATAGGGATTTCTATCTTAATTCTACCCCTTCATGCCCCCCCCCCCCACACTCTTCTTGTACACATGCATCCTTTTCAGCTACACATTTTGCAAAGGTAAGTGTATGTGTAAGATTTCATTTCCTATGGAAGTCATAAGCTTAGTATAAAACATACAATTCAGGTAAAGACCCATATCCTTTGTGTGATCAATTTTCACTTTGTTGGCATTTGCATTAAAATTGATACTAAAAGAACGTAATCACCAGCAGAGTGACTTTTTTAGAGAGTGAGCTATCCACATTCTGCACACTGTGTTATCACCACAGTTGCAAAACATGAGTGATACATAGCCGAGTTTATTTCCTCAATAGCACTTAATCAAAACCTCCCCACTGTGCTGTGATTGGTTGGTAGTTATTACGTCAACGTTTGCCTTTATAGCTTTCTGCTTTAAATATCATTTGACTGACAGGCAGGAATGTTGTACTGTTGATTTTGCCCAGGATGCTGCAGTAGGCAAGGCTAAATCCTGTCTCTGACCTTAAACAGTAGATTTTGTTTGTGTTCTTTTCATCGTTTGTAATATGCTACCTCGATGACACACTTGATGAGCTTGATGGATGTGTTTCAGTAATGAATGAATGTATTCATCCTGCGTCAACTCCACCTTTTGCCTGCTTCTCGATTAGCTGGAAGTTAGTTGGAGTCAGAATTTACAATATGAGGATCGATCTTCAGGCTTCAAAATGCATCTTTAGAGACAACTTGGTGACATCACTGAAACGGCGTCCATGTTTCATACAGTCTATATGGCACCAACACTGCTCTGTTAAGTGAACCTCCAAAATAAATCTTGGTTGGGTTTTTGAAAAAAATCTTGGGGTTTGGGTTTCAAAGTTGACGTTTGGTTCAGCTGAACAGCTCTCCTGTTCTTAAATATTGCATCTCTTTGCTAATCACAGCACAGGAAGACAGGATAAGACAAAGTCCTTAAAGGCATAAACAGATCTGTGAATGTTTTATAATACATAGTCATGCTTCAAGCCTTTTAGCAGGAGTAACTCATTAAACCATGACATTTTCATTTAAGAACTCAAATTGCTCCGAAATGATTTACTGTGGACTGTGACGTACAGTTGTAGTTCAAGGTTTTTTATCACAATTTTGCATCATGTAATATATCTTTATAAATTGTAGCAGATTTGTGCTAAATACTGCTGTTGTTCTGGAGCACACTGAGCTGAAGCTTTCAGACTTTCTTGACAGATTGTGGCACAGCAAAAGACGGATTTTGAAAAAACAAACAAAGCCCACATCATGTTTCTTTTCGGCCCGTAAAGGTCAAGTATTACCTTTAAGGAGAGAAGGGGACAAGTAGAAGAATCTCCTTTTGACAAGCAGTGAGATTTATGAGCCATGTGGGCGAAAATGTGAGAAAATGAACAATAGTATTAAAACGCTGCCGGAGCCAGCTTTAGCCCCTTAAATCTCGCTTCTTTTCACACAGGAAAATTAATGTGACAACGATAAATGTTACACAGAAATAACTACCAGGGATTCTGCCCCTGCTTCTGGAGGTATTTGACCCTGACCTTTGACCTTTTTGTTAAATGGAGAGAAAAAAAAAATCTCTTATAGCAATCAATACACTGTCATTGTATATCACCGCAAATTAATAAATGGAAAGATTTGAATCTATTTTTAAAGGCAATGTCGCTTCCAGTTAAATGCTCCTGTGCTGGGAATGAATGCAGTGAAATGTGAATATAGACATCATGCCCCTGCAGTGTTTTATGATGATAGATGAACTGTGAGAGAGAGAGAGAGCGAGAGAGAGAAAGAGAGAGAGAGAGAGAGAGAGAGAGACGAGGTTTGCACAGTGCCCTCATGCTCTGTGAGCCTGGAAGCAGCGGGGAAGGAGAGAGGTGATATTTCAGGCGGACAACATGGACACTGTGTCAGAACAGTTTACCTGGGAACAGCATGCACACGTTTATTCGTCATGACAGGAAATATATATCAACCTGTGTAGCAAAGACGACTGAAAGATGTTGTCAGAAGGCTAAAGACGCATTTGGGCTAATTGGAATTTTCCAAGTTGAAGTTTAGCGATGTATGACGTCTCTGTAAAAAGACTACAAGACATTACTAACAATAGGGACAATACTGAGTTACTATAAGGACACAAAGAAAGATATTTCATTTCATTTCAAACCTTTATTTATTCTCGAAAAGGACACTGAGGTTTAACTCATTTCATTCCAATGCCGTTGAGATTACAAGCACAGTAAAACAAGCAAAAGCACAACAAACCACTGAGATTCATTAAAACAGTTACAATTTGAAACAAAGTGGCTCGAAATCAAATTCCTAGACTCTAGAAGAGAGGGAAGAACTGTGATCCTGAGAGTTATCCAAACCGTTAGCAATTTCTGAAGTACTTTGTGTCATGAAGCACAAATAAACCAAAGAAAAGAAAGTCTTACAATCATACCTTTGCCTAAAAGTGACTCATTAGGGACACAGCAACCTCGGAGGAAGATGAAACATGTTGGGACCAGAGTGTTTGAGGTCGATACCGCCCACCAAAACGCCAGGGCTTCATCAAATGACTCGAACCCTAAATAGCCCAATGGCCCATTGCACATTCCAGTGTAGCGCCACGTCTTGTGGTATCTACTGCTCAAGCTACTGGGGCCCTTGACTTCATGATAGTCCTTCTTCAGACTGTTAAGCTAACTTTTCACTGAAGCCTCGGTCAGACTTACACCAAGGTCAACCGGCAAACAGTTTCTCTGTCAGCCCTCACCGCCAACAGCACCTCAATCTTTTTGACTCTCCAATGTGAAAATAATCTTTGCTCTTTGTGTTTTTTGAAGGTCGTTATTCTTCCACCTCAGACATTTTTATTCACCTATTCACCCTGTTATGTGCTTGATTTGGCAACGCTCGACATAAATGCCATCATAACGCTCACTTGAAAGCAGTGATTTTACTGACTATAAACCGCAGCGTCCACACATCTGCTCAGCCTGACTTCTAATAGAAATTTTTTTCAAAGGGCCGGGAGGAAAAAAGGATGCAGCCTACCTCTTCTAGTGCCTGTGTAAAAGGGTTATGATTGAAATAACTTTAAATTACCCTCCCTGTCAGAACAGCCACTTCATTCCGTTATAATAGCTGACAACTGCAATTCATACAGTGTTTAGGAAAGGCAGCACAGTGACAGCATCCACAGCACAGCGAGTCAGCACAATGGGGCCGGAGCAGCCTCAGGTGGAGCCTCCTGTTGGGATTTCTGCTTCAGCAAAATAAAGCTTCGTTCTCTGTGTTGCAGAGTGTTTCACCTTGAAATAGCAGCTTATGTGTGACTTTGTGTCTCAGTCACTTGCCTCTGAGCAGCTTAAAAGTTGTGTTAAAGATGTCAGCTGGTAGTGGAATCCCTATTTCTAGACCAGACTGCTTTGCTGTTCATCCAAAAAGGCTCTGTGAGTTTTAATTATTCGCAGCGACTACAGCTGAGATTGAAACTATTGAGGCCACGCCGGCTACCTGTAGCAGTAACTGGGAATGATGCAGAACTTTAAATGCCCATACTAGTTTAAACTCATGAAGCTTTTTTAATTAAATGGTAAATTACATTTTTTGCATAGTGGCTGTATGATGTACTTCAATAACAAGTGGATTTCCCACAGGAAATTCCAGTGTGGCCCCTTTATTGGGAAACCGACAGATATACTTAGAGAGAGCGTACACTTGAAATTGTGTTTAATGATACAGTTTTGTGTGCAATATGGGAAAGGCACTTCTATGATGTTACTAAACTAACTAACCTTTACAATCAGCCGTTTCCCCTGAGGTGCCTCCTTTCCCCAGTTTGAAACATCTTTGTTGTGTTTGACTTTAATTCCCCAAAGACTAAACTAAATCAAGTTTCAAAGTTTCAGTTAATCTTATAAACTGCCTTTTTAAAAAGAAAATCACGGTAAAAGTGTATAAATTGGGGCTCCATGGCCTGGCGGTTATATCGTGCATGTACGGAGGCTATAGTCCTCGAAGCGGGCCACCTGGGTTCAAGTCTTACCAGCGACATTTTTACAACTTGAAGAAAGGAATAGATACAAAAGAGACATCTATCTATATAACCACAACTGGAACAGATTACCCAACTGGTGCACTCATAATAAAATCTATAGTATATCAGGCTGCGCTGGGAGAAGCTGGAGGCGCCACAGGACATTCAAGACACCAACAGCTAGTGTCAGCTTTGATTTATGAGTTCCTTTGCACAGTTGGGAGGGGGCTTCACACTGCAAAAGAGTGTGAAAAAGATATATGTTAGAGAGGACAAGAGAGAGAAAACACTCCAGAAGAGCTGAGTGACGTCAGTGTCTCTGTGAACACATGCTTACTACACGCAGTTAAGGTTACTTCAGGTGAATATCAGTACAACAGCAGCCGAGCTGTGATGTTACATCAACGCACTCACCTCAGCGGTAAAAAAGAGATGTTGAATACAAAGTATCTGTTTTGCCTCACAAAGCGTTCCAGCATCAATAAATCATTGTCAGACTCACTTTGAGAAAGAAGCAACATCAATCCTTTAAAGTGTCAGTTGTGTCTTTGTGCTCACTGCTGCATTTTTAAAGATATATTCCCACAATACAACAAAAATCCGTTCTTGAAAAGTAGAAAGAAAGACAAAATGGGACGAGGTATTCAGTGTGAGTTTTTAAAACCAAAGATATCTATGCATTTATTTCCCAACTAAACTATACTTGTGTAAGACAGTTCATATTTG